CAACACTTTCACGGCATGATATGTGGCACGAACTTTTTCATTTCTCACAAATTTCACCTGAAAGTCATACATCTCTGGCTGGAAGTCTTCACTGAAAGAGATGTAGCAGAAGTTTCTTGAACTCCAGCTGCAATGTGAGCAGCCTGCAAGCACAAACTCAATGTAGAATAAACAAAAGCATGAATTAAAGTCTCGAATTCTTGTAAATGATGATGTAGATGTTGACTTTTCAAAGAAGCCTTAGCTGGAACAAAAATGTGCTTTGTCAATTGTTTTAATCTGTTTTCACATTCAAGGGTGCTGGCAGAATTAGATTTGTTTCTGCACATTGTGGTGCAGTAACACTTTCATTATTGAGCACAACAAAACTATACATGTATAAACTTCTGTGATCTTCCCAGGTATAATTAGGTAACCTAAAGTTGCTGTCTTACTGTCACATTTTTTTATTTATTTCAAAAGCAAACCAATTCAGAAAAGATGCACTCAAATCATCCTGATCTCACAGAAAAACACAAAACAGAGATGAAAACTGTTGCCGCTCATATCCACTGGTTATTTTTGTTTCAAAGAAAGATTTCTCAGCAGAACAATCCCTTTTAAGAAAAAAAAAGATGAAATCACTAGTTTATTAATGTTACATTCATTTTCCGAACAAGGCTACAAAAAATACGGAATAACTCAATACTGAAGGAAAAATGATGGAGTTCCCCTGCAATTTGTATTTCTGAAACAAATGCATTAATATGTCTAATTGCTGTATGCAAATGAGTCTGCAGATAAAAGAAAGTGAAACAAAATGTTTTTTTTGTTTCTATAAACTGGCTGGACAAACAATTTAAGAAGGTTGGATAAGAGAAAAATACAGATTGACCAAAAAAAAAAAAAAAAAAAAAAAAAAACAAAAGTCAAAGCTCCAGCAACATGCATTGAAAACAGAAACCCACCGAAGAAATGAAAGACAGAAGGTTCTGGTGGATTAAAGAGAAGCTGTGGATACCTGGATAAAAGTTTTGTTCTGTTATGAGTCACAAATCTTGTTTTGTAACATTCCAAAGAAACACAGAAAGACTGAAACCCCCAGCATTTCTCACAGCTACTGCTCTGCAACAACGTTGGGTTATTCCAGTTTGTTGATGATGAAATGATTTACCCAGATGATAATGTATCTATCTGCTGAGCTAAGAGCGTTAAAGTCGTTCTTCTGGAAGGCAAGTCGACTTAATATAGCCGGCAAAAAGCCCAGATCTCATTTCAACAGAAAATGTCTAATAGTGAAAAAACTGTTTTGTGTGATTTGTCAAAATCAGACAAAAATATTGCAACTACCGCTACCAACAGATATTTCAGTTTCAAAGAGTTACTTTCACAACCACTAAGACATTCAAGATCACTACAATTTTAAGTCTTTGTTAACCAGATGCCAGAGACAGAGCTGGAATGTTTCCACTGGCTGTTTAGAGCAGAGTAGCTGCTGCACACTACTGATCAGCTGGCTGAAAGGAGGCTGCTATCATTCTTTATAGCCTAGAGAAAAAAATAAATTCAGCTGTTTGTTGCTCTTTTAAACAACAAAATGGTAAATGGTAGAATGAGCAGGTATACTTGAACACTACAGATAAGTGGCTGGTAATAAGGTATTTCTAATAAGTCTGTGTATTTTAATAAAATAATAAATACATATCATAAGCTTAATCACAATTGTAATAGTCAACAATATTTAGAATACTTTGTATTAATAATAATACTAATATGTTGTATTATTTTAGCAGTAGTAGGAATAACTCTTGCTTTCCTGTTTTAAATAAAAGCAAAAACACCATGTTGTCCTTTTTGCATGACATTCTTGTGAAGACACTTTGATACAATAAAGTGTATTTTGGTATTTTGGGTTTTAGCTCAAAGAGATTGAGCTAAAATAATGTTTCACATTAGCGAAATATATTCTTTACAGAATAAAAGTTGTTAGAAAAGCCAAGAGAGCTGAAACAAAACACAAACTTCTTACTCTGATATTTATTGGTTTCAGTTGATTCCTTTCATCAACATTGATTAATTCTGCTTTGTTTTTCATTTACTTAATCCAGAATGTCACTTTTAAACCTGTCGAATAAAATAGTTTTATTTCATATCTGCGACTCATTTTCAACAACAAATTAAAACAACAACTCTTTTGAAATGGTCTGTGTGTGTGCTTTGTTTGCTGCTCATCAGTTGACAGGACGCAGCGGTCCAGTCACCTGGACAGAACCGGTCAGTTGATATCAAACGTTCAGGAGACAGAATCCTCCCTGAAGCAAGCGGCGAGTAAACTCCAAACTATCAAAGTAAAGTTTCATCTTTTTCCTGCCAAGGCGTTAAAACGTGCAGCTCCATCCTTTCAACCTCTCTAGTCTGAAGAAACTGATCACAAAAATCAAAACGGTTGAATCTCTGTCCGGTTTCACACAGACTAACACCACTATCATACGCAGGCATGCAAACATCACAGTTTCTCGAAGCAGAGTTTTTCTTGCAAATTAAAGCCTTATTTATCTAAAAACATACTTCTCGTAGCCGATTGGTGGCTTGATTGACCACCGGCTCAGTTACGACTCCCGCATGAAGTTAAGATGGTGAATAGAAGCTGCATGTTTCTCTTCAGTCAGTTTAAACGTGGTTCAGAAAGTGGAGTAGGGAGCCAGCTGGAGGAGTTGGATTTCATTTTTAAATACTGAAAATGATTTTGGCTAAAGATATAAAATAGATAATCATTCTGACGAAAAAAAAAATACTGTAACGGACTGTTCTCACTTTAGTCTTTTCTCATCACAGTCCAAAATTTGATCAGCTTGAACATCCCCCTCACACTCCTGTGTCTTCCTCCTCTTCCTCTTCCCCTTCCTCCTCCTCCTGCTGTGGAAGGAGCCGGTACTGCTCGTTGCCCACCGGCAGGAAGGAAGTCCTGGGACGAACCCCGTCTTCCTCACAGGGGGCCGGATGTGAGTTGGAGTCCAGCTGATCGGTGGAGTTGCACTTGGTGTACAGCTCGCGGTGCACCTCGGGGCCGGGGCCCTCCTGGGGGGGGGTGTCGAGGGCGGAGCGGCTTTTCAGCACGGAGTGGATGTAGCCGATGGGCACAGGAAGGCTGGCGAACACGATGAGTATGACGATCATAGCCAGGGCCCAGCCTGGGTACGCCAGCGTCATCTCAGAGGCCTGGAAAGACAAACGGCACACAGGAGGATGAAGAAGATTGCACTGGAGTTAATACTAAGCTAAAAAAAAATGGGAAAAGTTGATTAAAATCCCTCCATCTAATACATTTACAACAGAAAGAGTGACATATTTGAAGTGCTTATTCCTGTTATTTCTCATTATCATACCTTATGAAGAATACAAACGCAACATTCAGTTTCTCAGAAAATTAGATAACAGGCTTTTAAAACAGAGATGTCATATTACAGTCTCAGCACATTAACAGCAAAAACAGTCGAGTTGACAGTCGTTTCTATTGGAACAAGCTCCGATAGGATGGTAAGTGACGTGAGGCTGTATCCATGAACATTAATGCAGCAAAATAGAAAAGTGTGGGAGATTTAGGAGATAGTCAACAGTGCAGACAAGCTGAAGGACGATTTTACAGCAACCTGGGCTTCCATTACACCTCAGCAGTGCCATAGGCTGATTTTCTACACACCCAACCAAATATTGACTGAAAATACTGTTGATCTGTTAAGACTTTTCAGCAGATGAACTTCTCTGCATTTGGAATCTGTTTTTTTTTTTTTTTTTACTTTGTAATTTTCTACTTTATCTGAATCCAGTGTTCATATTAGAAATATAACAGAAATAAAATCTATCAACTATATCTCTGTATGTACTGAATTTAGACAATATATTAAGTTTGTTTCAAACAGAAATGAACAGCATTATGTTTAATCCAGATATATTCAGTTAAAGTAGCTAAAACATATTTTCCATGAAGCAATGAGACAAATGGTCTGGGGTGACATCTGTTTCCAGGTCTAAATCTGACTGAGCTGGATTTCACTTTTACATAGACCGAGTCAAAGGTCACCATGACCCCACCGTGAGCTAAGCATGCAGAGAAAGCCTTCAATAACCTCTCTCACGTTTCTCATTTCTTTACATTTTTTAACAGAACATGACTGGTATTCTGGGTTATAATTGTTAAAAAACAAATGTAATTTTAGCCTTAAATATTTTCTAATATGTCTGATTGAAAAGGCAAATCTTACTGCGGTCTGATTCCAGGCAGTGTACGTGGGTCCCTTGAAAACCATTCGAAGTAAACTGGCAGCAAGGAGACCAACCATTGCCAGCAGACACACGTATTTCCAGAGATATTTGTACACCACTGGGGGGCGCCATTTGAGCATGAGTTCAATATCGTCCAGGAAACTGCAGACAGAAAACATTTCACCCAAGGTGGTATTTCTGTTCAAGTTAGGCAAGATGATCATGAAAAAAGATATACAAAGATTTTATCCAAGTATTTTTGCAACCAAATACCGTCTCTTACCGATCAGTGCCATAAACCCATGCCACACTGATTGTTTCAAAAATCACAACAATAACAAGTGGCAGGGTTGCAGAGTAGTCGTCAAACATCATCACAAAATAATTGCCAGATCGCTGGGTGAACAATAATCCGATTATGAACCCCAAGGCACAGCTGAACACTGAAAAGCAAGAAGAAAAAAAAACACAATAAGAGAAACATAACTAAACTATCTGAGCACAAAAAATATATATTTAATACAATATTTATTTGCTTATATTGTTTAATTTGCTGGTATTTTATGTTTATATGTACCGCTACTGAAAATATACAATCATTCAACCTTTTTAGATTTTGTCACATTACAACCACAAACCTCAACGTATTTTATTACATAGATTAAATTTAAAAGACCAACACAAAGTGCATAAATGTAAAGTGGTAGAAATGTAATGTGTATGTGGTAGCTTTCCACAAATAAAAATCTGGAAAGTCTGGAGTGCATTCGTTTTTAAACTCCTTTACTCTCAATTGCCCCAAATAAGTATGATGATGATGATGATGTCACAGAAAAGTAACAAACCCGGTAATAAAGAAGCAGAACCCTTTCAATGCAACCCAACTAAACACTGTCTAAAATAGAGAAACTATGCTTTCACAGACCTGACACCAATAAGACACAAGACTTGAAAATATCATCTTATTTTTACTTCACAATCAAAAGTGTATAAGTCCAATGAAATACAAACAAATATGTGGTTATAATGACATAAAATGTGGAAAAGTTCAACTGGAACCTCACACATTTTGCTGGAAAGGCCTGTATTTTTAAATAACGTTCAACAATTCGTTACAATCCCTGCATGGCTCCCTGTGCACACTGAGTGTTTGGGGACGTGTTGCGGTACCGGTGAGGAGGGTCCGATGGCGGCCCAGCAGTTTAAAGTTGTCCATGAGAGGCGTGAGGATCCCCTGCATGGTCCCGAACATGGTGCTCAGGCCCAGGTTGAGGAGCATCAGGAAGAACAGCGTGGACCAGAAGGGGCTGGCCGGGAAGAGGGCCATGACTTCAGTGAATGCTATGAATGCCAGGCCCGTCCCCTCAACGCCCTGCAGACACAAAGAGGAGGCTGAAACTGTACACATTATGCTGATTATTCCTCCTACAGCTCTTCGTTTGACTCGGCAGATTTTTTACACAACATAAACACAGGGAGATCGCATGATCTCCTCTGTTTCTGTAAAAGCATATTGTATCGGTAGCACAAGCATGTTCTTATAGCTCCTATTTCTCATCCATGGGTGCAATAAAAATAATGTCTATCTTTACCGCTTTATTTCAACGCACATTTATGTGTTTCTATTATTACATCTGATCTACATCAAGCCAAGATAGGAGAACTGTATGAACTATTGACTGATAAGAGTTACTATATGTACATTTACCTACCATATTTCATATGCTATTTTAAGTTAATTTGTTATAAAATCGGGTATATAAGACATTTAATATGCATGTTATAACAGCATATTATTACAGAAGACAAAACCTCAGTAAATTTTGCAATGGCTCACTTTATGCAGCAATTTTATTTCCCGATTTTGATTTGTTGATTTGTTCATTCATAAGTATTTTTTAAATTTAATGATAAACTAAATGTTATTTTTTACCAAATTGGTAAACAGATGGATTTATTATCACTTTTTTTATACTTCTAAGAATGTTTAACGGAACTGGAAAGGTTTTTGTGTTTTGCCTGCTTTCATTTTTCTCTAATTATTTTATGCTATATGTTTATATTTATATCATAAGGTTAAACTACACAACACAACAATAGAGACCAAGTTTGGGCCTGTTCTCTGTCTGTTTTTTTTTAACATCTATAAACCTTTTAGAAGTTGTATAAACATATTTTCATCTGAAAAATGTTAACTGGATCTGGTTTCACCTGTATATGGAGACTGGAGATAGTTTTCTTTCTTATTATTTATAATAATTGTTCATGCTTCTGTGTTGTCAAAGCAGACATAGAAATAGACCAAAGAAGTAAAATATTCCCATCTGGTTCATTTTCTCTGCTTCTGATTGCATTGCCATGAGGTCAGATAGTAGCGCACAAAAGTTCATCAGCACCCTCACAAATTTTCAAAGCAGCATATTTATTTTTGAGTTTTTGAGTTGAGTTTATTCATTCTGAGCGTTACCTTGTTCATCTCCTCCTCCAAATTGCAGTTAGTGAGCTGAGGACCCAGCGTGGAGCCGAGCTCATGGTACCACTGTCTGTATTCAGATAAAGACACGGAGCTCGGATCCGTAACGTTGAACGAAGGCCACCAGCGGTGGCTGGATCCGTTAGAGGACATAAGATTTAACACACCAAGATTTCTGGAAGAGGTTGAGATAAAGGAACAAATATAAGGAATGCAGGTTTTATGAGAAGACAATAAAATTGTGAAAGTGAGATTGAAACATTACCCTTAGGTATACATACTCAGCAACGCAACGTAGGGCGATGTTTTTGGCCCGGAAACCCAGCACCACGAAAACCACCAGTGAGGCCAGCACAGATGTCATAAAGTTGATGCCGGAGACCATCAGGGCATCCCTGTGGCAGTTGTTGTGGACCGGATTGTAGGAGGAATATGCGATAACGGAGCCATAGCCCAGACCCAATGCAAAAAACACCTGTGTAGCCGCCTGGCGCCACACCTGTACGTTCCCCCAAATCTCAAGCTGTGAAATATCACAGAAGATCTCATTGAGAAAAACTGCCCTCTTTGATTTGTTAATACAGATTTTCTAGAACTAAACATATCTGGCCTGTTTACTTTGGGATAAAACATATATGTGATTCCATCTATGGCTCCATCCAACAACATCCCTCTGATGAGGAAAATGAAGAGCACCACATAGGGAAAAACTGAGGAGAAGTACATCACCTAAGGTGAGAAGAAACATAGAAAGATTTATTTCCAAGAATATTACTTTTCTCTCAAAGCATCCAGATTTAACCAACCAGTGCTCACAATGAAAATATGTCCCTGAAAGTTTTACAGTTCCTTAAAACACTTAGTGATGATGTACGGATTGTTGAGGTTGGTTTTCTCTCACCCTTGCGGAGGACTTGATGCCCTTGATCATAGCCAGCGATACGATCGCCCAAGCAGCCAGTAAGCATCCCGTCATGATGGGGTTAAACTCTCCAGATTCCTCTATCGAATTGGTGATGTTCAGCGCTTTCCTGAACCAGAAATACTGCGTTGGAGAGCTACTCGCACATTCCTTTACTGTTCATTGAAGACAGACAACAGTTTAGATGCTTACATGACATGTTTGATTAAACGTCTCTGTTACGCTCGTACCTGTTTCATTGGTGCCTGCATCAATCGGGCACTGTTCCCACGGCAAAGGATACTGGAAGGAATTTCCCAAGTAGAAAATACTCCATGCAATGATGACATTATAGTAAAGAGCTACATAAAAACAGACCTGAGGAAGAAGAAAAATGGCTTAAATTATGACTGTGAACTTGAGAATGATTAATACACTGTGGAAAAAGTCTGCTAGACTGTTAGGAAGAAAGTGGTCCTAAAAGGGCTTTTCGCGATTTTCAAACAAAAGTTAATTTAAAATCTTTCTTTAGATTTTGACTGTTGTTTTAGTAACTCAACATTTGGTATCAGATGCATTTATGGAAATGCTCTGTTATGCTCTGTTTCAGCATAACAGAGCAATAATTCAGGTGCAACATAAGAGGTAAAGCAACGTTTCAAATCGACTTAGCAAAGAACCAAACATTTTGTACCTTCATCCCAGCAGAATAACACAGATGTGATCTATTTAATTAAGTCTATCAAAGTATCAGACAAAACAGTGTTTGCACATGTAAATAAATATTCCCAAGCAGGTATTAAAACTTCAAGAGGTTAACAAAAAATAATAATTTGTTATCTGTTATGGATACTTTTTCTACCTTGACATTTTTTTTTATAATTACCGCATTTTTCGGACTATAAGCCGCTACTTTTTACCCACGCTTTGAACCACGCGTCTTGTAGCACGGTGCGACTTTTCTGTGGATTTTTCTTCAACCACCAGGGGGCGCTTTAGCAGGAAGTGAATAATTTTAACTCAAAATTGGAAATCAAAGAAGAAAGTGCTAATTTTCATTTAGAACAAGTACAAGCTAGCAGCAGACACGACGGATAAATGTTTTCAAACTCACCCCCTCATCATGGAAACAACACGAAGAAGCTCATATGACGTCGCTTTTAAGTTGAAGGCTAAAGATCTGGTAGGAAATAGCTCGGTGTGAACGAATCCATGGTTTGTTGTTGGAGACGTCCTTGCTGCTGCGTCCTTGTGGAAAACCGAGAGCGGCGGAGATACCAGCCGGTGCGGCTTATATATATGTATGTTTCCAGTTTAAAAAAAAAAAAAAAAACTTTGTAGATGCGCCTTATAGTGAGGTGTGCTCTATAGTCGGTACCCTATAGTCGGTAAATACGGTACCCGTTGCCTTTAAAGGCATACATTACATCAAAGTTACTACTGTTAATCACAAAGAGGTGGGAGATCCTAGTTCCTGTTGTGAAGGCAGCAAAACAATCTTTTATCCTAATTTTTGCTATGAACAAATGAACTGAAACGAGACTGAAATATGTACAAACTCAGTGATCAACGAGTCCAATCAAAAAAGAATAAATGTGCATTAGCCAAGCATTTCACTGAGCTGCCGTACTGCTGGACATTTTACCAGTGAGGTTCTGTCCTCCTTGCTGGTAGAAAGTGAATGACTTTATGTCTCCAGCGCTGTGGTGGGGGGTCATGTGTCTCTAAAGGCTGTTCTCCCTGGAGCCAGACATTCGTGGAGTATTGTCAGAAAAGGTCAGCGACGTGAACAAATAGACGGATAAGTGGGAAAGTTTTACGCTGTGTGTTTACGAGTCTATGAACTGAACTAATGACTGACTTTGGTTTTAAGGTCAGTGGTGCAGAGAATTAATTGTTTCATTTAAATCCATTCAAAACAAAGCACTTCCTGCAGAAAAATGCCAACGTTTTACATGTACATTCATTGTTTAACTAGAACAGACCTTTTTAAATTGGAGCCTTTTTTATTTTTTATTAATTAGGATTAGGATTTTTAATTTTAAAAACGTTGTGACTTAAACTAGAATGTCTTGTCAAAATAAACACCATGTTGTGACCATCAACCAGTTTTCATCACCAGTCTGAGCAAAGCAGACTGGTGATTCCTCACGCTCTGTTGTGACATGTTTGATGGTTTTCTTGAACATCTGAGGTCAAACCATAAAATCTAAATGAGATCAAGATTCAGGCTTTGACCAGAACTTTCCATTCCTTGACTCCCAGTCTGTCGTTGGTGGGCTTATTGGTATGTTTTGGGTCATGGTCCTCCTGTAGGATCCAGTTCTGCTTCATATTTTAACAGATAGCCTCATATTGTCCTCAATATTTGACACACATTGTGGAGGTAACCAGGTCCTGCTGCAACAAAGCATCCCAAACCATGATAATTCCACCTCCATGCTTGCATGTCATTGTTTCCAAATCCATATATACAACATTACAGGAAAAATATTTAAATAGGGGAACCTTAATGTCATTGAGAAGCAATTAAAATATTTCTGTGTTGAGACACAAAGCAAATATAATCTACTGGATTGAAAATGAGATAAAAAGCAAATGAATATAATTGATTTCTATTTAAAAAGAAAAAATTATCGTAAAAATGTTACATACTACTATCTATTCTCTTTGGGCTGTGAGGTTGCCTTGTCTTGTCTGCAGAGAAAAGTGTTACACAAGAGTCTGACAGCAAAAAGCAACAGCGATTTGCTCTGCTCTCAAGTTACAGCATGAAATGAAGTCACTACCATCTCTAAGTATATACACACTACCTCTACTGATCAAAAGAGAGTTAGTTCAAAGACCGTGGGACAAAAGAAACACTAGAGGCTACTCAGCAGAAGACACAGGAATCTGCAGATTATTTAATCAGACCAATCTCGGCCCTTCCCTTTAAATATTATTATTACCGATTAATAATCCTTTAACTAACACATGCAAACAGCAAGTACAGTAAGCGGGATTTTTCAGCTACCACATGACTTTTACATGCCTCAACCTAAAGGAGCAACACTCACCACACAGCTGGAGTACCCAATCCCCACCAGCTTCGGGGAGATGTGCTTCCATACGCCAATGCTTCCCTGTCGAATACTCTGGCCAGCTGCCAGCTCCATAAAAAACAGGGGGACTCCCACAATCAGTAAAAGAAAAACATACAAAAGCATGAAGGCCCCTGGAAGAATTGAAAGAAGAAAGATGTTTCCTTTTCATTTAACAACAAGATTAAATGTTGAAATGTCTTAAAGGTTTGACTCCAGAGTACTTTCTTTATTGAAAGACGTTTACCTCCTCCATTTTGGTGGCAAAGGTATGGAAACCTCCAGACGTTCCCCAAGCCCACGCTGAAGCCGACCTGAGCCAACACATACTGGATTTTAGAATCCCAGGCTGGTCGATCTTCTTCATTTGGCTCTGTTGGGTCAGGACTGGTTGCAAGCTGGACCTCAGACTGGCCCTCTCCCAACCAGGTACTCTCCTCACTGGAATCCAGAGCGGGCTTCTCCATCTAACCAAAAACAAAGAAAGCAGAGTGATAAATCTGAAGGATATCAGTCCAGTTTAGGTAAAATACAACACCCTCCACATGTAATGGGATACCAAGCGAAGATGTCTAAAAAGTCTTGAAATAATTTAGTCTGATCTGATCTTGATGTCCAAAGATTTGAGCTTATCTTAGTAAAGATCTCCAGAGTTATTCAGAAATGAATCAGATCCATTCACTGTAAAGAAATACATCATCAGTACTTGTGCCAACTAGTCCAAGCCTGATCAACCTGGTAAATTTAGCTCAAGATAACGTCGATGGCTCTTGGTGTCAAAGTCCGCGACGCCAAATATACAGCTTATGTTTGACTTGTGTGGGAAGCATGCCAGGAAAAAGTTTGAACCCTCCAAAAACAATATTGGAGTTTGTCAGTGAACCTATAGACGAGGACGTTCTGAAACTTTGCGTTCCTGGAGAGCTCAGTTTAAAGTGCAGCTACTTGAGGCAGCAAAAAAAATAAATAAATACAGAGAGAAGAAACATCTTGACCTTGAAGCACGTAAGACCGAAATGCTTTTGAATATCAACTTAATGTGCAAGAATAGAAAAAATAATTTTACTCAGTCAGATTTTCTCTGACACAACATGTATCACAAGGTTCATGTATCACATGATTGATAATAAACATCTACCTTTTAATTATCGTTTTGTATACTGTACACAGGGTGCCTCTTCGTCAGGTCTCCTTAAAAAATAGATTTTATCTAAAGGGACTTCATGGTCAAATAATGATTAAATAAAAAACATTTATTAAATGTCAAACTTGAAATATTTAAATATGCCATATATTAAATTATCGGTTTCCAGAGCCTTTTTGTTCCTCATTGATCAAAACCTGGTTTCACTTTCGGGGCAAAAGTTATCGTAAAAATTCTGAGTGTGGTTTAATCTATTTTACTCCAAATACATGCAACACCACTGCCATATGTAAGTTTTATTAAAAATATGTTTTTCTTTTACATATTTGTTAAAACTATCACTATGTCGTGACAGCATAATATGAGACGGGTAATCTGAAAAAAATAAATAAATGAAGCTCCTCTGCCTTCTCTTATGGTTCTGCAGTTACCTGAACAAATTCACTGCTCTGTTAGAAACAGCCAATCACAATCAGGGGGAGGGGTTTAGCGCTGCCAATCATTCTTTTTTATCGTGTTTATCAAACCACACCACTGAAATGTAGTCAAAAAACCTATAACCTGAAATTTAGTAGATTTAAACTAGAGACAGGCACAAACCTCAAAGTCAGCTTTAAAGCCTAATTAAATGTAAAGAATATCACATGCAGCAGCTCACTTATGAGCGGCTGAATCTCCCTGCTGAACGTCCGCAGCTCCAGTCAGCTCAGATGAGCCGGCCTGGTCCAAAACGGATTAACACGACTCAAACCGTCTTCGGGATTTCTGAGCCAGATGGTTGACAAGCCCCCTTTGTCGGTATCAACAAGTCAGAATGGAAAATTACAAGAGGCGTCTGACCCAGAAAGCCTGTTGAAGACACACAGCCAGATAGGGCAGGTGTGTTCAGAAATAAATACACACAGGCAGAGGAGAGCGAGACAAAAATATGCATATACGAGTAGAGAGGAGGGGACGCTAGGCTAAGAGCAGCCATTCACTGAGTGGGAGCAGGAGGAGAAAGTCTGTTGGGAGGTGTTGGCTTTGTATTGGTTGGGACTGTGGGTGGTGTTGAGGTGCACGAGAAGGCCATGAAGTAGGAGAAGCTGGGCAAAACGGGGAAGAAAAGCTGTGGTTGATTAATATCGAAACTTAAAACTCATAAGGCTGGGACCTAAAAGTTAAGGTTCAAGATGTAATTCTGTACAAGTTACAAGGATTATCTCTTGCAGTTCCCATAGTTAGTTACATTTGTTACAGTTGGAGTAAAATAAAATATGTAATGCACTAAACTAAAAACTGAGATAAGGTGTTATTTGAAGTAGGGGTGCACTGATTTATCGGAGCCAATTTTTTAATTTTGGGAGATCGGCGATCGGCCGGTTTTACATATGAAGCCAATCTTATCCACCGATTGTATCTAGCTTGGCAAAGGTCTAAGAATCAACCACTGTCCTCTTTTGCTCTCCGGTGACAAAGGTTTGCGTGACAGACCGGCCCACCAAGTTATGACTGGACATTTATCATTAACAATAGTGACCCCACTGTTGCCAACTCAACAACTTTCTTGCTATATTGAGCATCATATCAAACAAACAAAAAAAATCGTATCGGCCAAAATCGGAATCAGCAAGTTAAGCTTTTTAAAAGATCGGTGATCAGCCAGAAAGCTGCAATCGGTGCAGCCCTAATTTGAATCAGTACTCATGTTTTTATCATTCTTAAGTTTTCATACAGATGTTCAAAAATACAAATTTGTGATTCTGCTTGTAAAAATAATTCAGACTGACTGGTCACTGAAAAATATAATAAAGTGTTGATCTAAGTTAATGTAAATGATGATGATATACCTGGTTCAGTGTCAAAACTAAACGTCCAGTTTGAACTCAACAAACCTCTAAACCTGCAATCCTAGACCATGAATGTAAAGCAAAACAACTAGAGCGTTTTTGGTCTCTTTTCTATTCTTGGCTAACCCTAAATTACACTTTTCCCATGGGTCTGTTTCCCCCTGCACACCCACCCATCCCTCACCCACAGAGTCACACAAGCTTTCACAAATAGTGCTGGTATATTTCTGTTTCTGGTCAAGTGGGAGCTTTCTGTGGGTGTAGGTAGAAAACAGGTGACCACAACCCTGAGCCTAATCCAACCTACAGAACTCAAGCTGTCAAAACCTTCCTATCAGCAGACACTGAGTTGTTTTGGGACGCTTCTCTTAAGCATCAATATGACAATGACAAGAAAAGCAGCTTTATGGATGTTAGATCTCTGTCCCGACGACCCACACTTCCCTAAATTTACACTGTAAATAAACATGTACTTTACAAAGAACAAAGTGTCTCAGGGGAACCTATACGCATAAATATTCTTTAAATCAAAAACATCTGGCTGATTTTGATTAAAGGACAAACTTGGGGCTGGGGGTTGCGCCAATCCTCAAGGTTTATGTCAGCTTAAGATATTCAGTTGTTTTTGTCTTTTCATGGTAGTAATAACTGCAGCATGGAAATATCCAGGTCTTCTATAAACCCCCTTGATATGCAGCACCTGGAAGAACACTTCCTAACTTTTTAACTTTTTCATGTTTTGTCATGTTGTGACCACAAACTTCAATGTATTCTTGCAAATATTTGGAAATATAGAGCATCCCATGGAGCGTACTTGTAAAATGGTACATGTCTTTCATTTTTTTAACCAATCAAAATCTTAAAAGCACAGTGTGTCTTTGAATGCAGCTCTATTGAGTCAACGCTTCGTAGAACCACATTTTACTACAATTACAGCTTGTCTATTGAGGTCTCTACTGTTTCATTGTAACTCTTGCTGTATGTTAGTGTTGCTGGAAAGTGAACCTCCACCATGTTTAGGTAGACAATAATGTCTTTCCCACAACTTTCTCCCTTATTTGTCGTCTATGTTCGCTGGTCTTCAAGCTGCTGTTTGTTCACTAATGTCTTCTACAAATCAAAACATCTGTATTTATAATGAGATTAAATTACACACATAAGTGTCCTCTATTTAACAACCAGGGACTTCTGGAGACTCTCTGAGCTGGCATTTTAAAACTGTTAAAAATTATGTATTCCTTTATTTGTGTTGATCTTTAATGTAAAATACTTTTACATCTGTGGAGTTAACATAGGCTGAAAGGTTTTGCACAGCTTAAATACTTCTGCCAGGTGTTGTAGATACTGCATACAGTTCTTTGTGTCATGATTAGAGTCATACCGATTGATTTTCCCCCTTGTCCCTATTTGAGGACTTGGGCTAAAAGCAAACTAAGCAGTCCCACTTATCAAAACATCGGCTAACTGAGCGTAGTGCATACGTTAAGCTTACTTTCAAGTCAGCCGAGGAGAGATAAACAAGCAAATCTGCAATGTCAGTGAAGCATTAAGTCATTTTAGCACACAAAAGAAATGTCAGAAGCCGATATCTATTTTAAAAGTGCAGAATAAAAACTACATTGTAAACAATATATTGTTGATTGAGGTGCGAAGCATGAAGCACAATCTTTATTTATCAATTCCTTAAAAAAGTTCCTGCATGTATTAAACCAACGGAATATACAGTATGTATAATGCATATAAGATCCTCTTTCCCTGAACATTGCATAACACAGCTGTCAACATGAATGCACACACAACATCCCCCACCTACATTTTTCACTATTGCTCGTTGAAAATCCCTTCACCTGCTGCACATATTACCGTAAATAATAAAAATGCATATTTAATCTTCTTCACATTTTTATTTTTAAATGTCTAAAAGTAACAACCCTGATTAAAAATAATAAAGATGAAGTTTTAGTAACAGATGTTAGCCTGAATTTCGGGGTATTTTCAATCAAATCAATATGCAGGACGTTATAGTAGTTTGATTATATCAACTAGAGAACCCCCGAGCAGACAGTGCAGTAAATAGACAGAAACAGTGCAAAAAATAGGCTCTGTTTTAACATAAAACTTAGACGCGACTTCCTGTATTTGACTTGGCTGCAGCTGCAGACAGCTGCGTTTTTAAACATGCCAAAAAACATTTTTAGCACTTGGACAGTTTGCATAAAATGCACAGAAACTATTATCTATAGGGAGGCAGAGGCGCAAAAAGTGGGTATGCAGCGTATGCAACGCATAGGGGCGCAGCACCAGAGCGGGGCGCCAAAACCCCGTCTGGAGGGAAAGTAAACCACAGAGTTTACCTCCCATAGCTTAACTGATGGAAGAGTTAACAAACTGTAAGTTAAGTGAGCAATGATGACATTTTACTTTGAAAAACTGGGCTTAGGAGAGTGTG